CACTTCCATACATCACAACAGGAAAAACCATAGCTTTGACTATTCGGACTTTTGTTGGCAAGGTGATGTCTCTGCTTTTCAAGATGCTGTCAAGATTTGTCATCGCTTTCCTCCCAAGAAGAAGGCGCCTTTTAATTTCAGGGCTGCTGTCTCCATCTGAAGTAATCATGGAGCCCAGGAAGATAAAATTTGACACTGCCTCCATATCTTCCCCTTCTATTTCCCAGGAGGTGATGGGACCAGTGGCCATGATCTTAGTTTTTTTGATGTTGAGTTTCAGACCATTTTTTGCACTCTCCTCTTTCACTCTCATTACAAGGTTCTTTAATTCCTCCTCACTTTCTGCCATCAGAGTGGTATCATCTGCATATCGGAGGTTGTTGATATTTCTTCCGGCAATCTTAATTCCGGCTTGGGTTTCTTCCAGTCCAGCCTTCCACATGATGTATTCTGCATATAAGTTAAATAAGCTGGGGGACAATATACAGCCTTGCCGTACTCCTTTCCCAATTTTGAACCAATCAGTTGTTCCATCACTCCAGGGACCTGTCTTTACCCTCACTAGCTGCTTTTGTTTGCTACCTAGGCTCTGTACTTAAGGAAGAGGTCTTTAAACGGACCCCTTCCCCAGTTACATGGGAATCTGCAACTTAAAGCGAGAGGAGGGCTGAGTCAGACCTCCGGAGACCAGCAGTGGCTCCAGATAAATGCTGTGCAGAGTTAGTGGCGACCAAGGACAGCTTGCCACTGTCCCCAGGGAAAGCTGATGGGGGACGGAAAACAGTTTAAGCAGCCTAGTCACAAGACTCGATCTTGCAAATACAAAGAGCAAGTGAAGCTATCCTTGGATTGTCATCTCATCATGAAACCCCTTGGGGTGAACACAGTCAGTTACTCTGCCTCAGCATAGTCTACTTATGAATTCCCTTCTGGATCACTTCCATACCACACTTCCCCTTACCCACAGAAGGGCCCTTCTCTCCACAGAAGCAAGGGACACTCAAAAAGTATCTGTCTTAGCATCTCTCCATCTCCACAGACATCTCAGCAACAGCTGGAATTGAGAGGTCAGCTTCTAACTAGAGGAAGGACTGAAAACTCTGCAGTTCATTCACTGGCATTTGATGGTAAAACTCACAGAAACTCATATATGCGAGGTTTAAAACCACTTTGCTTCACCTCAACTGAAGGAGAAGGCTAATTTGCATTACAAATGCCCCAGTCTCTTCCACCTTCCTTTCTGCGTGCCTTCTTCAAAGACAAAAATACTCCTGATCCTTCCGGTCATTTGAGAGGGATGGATGTTATCCAAAGCAGCTTGAATCAGAGACCACATCCTTTGCCCCTGGGATGCCAACCAGCCAGCCTGCATGCTTCAGGAATCTGTCTTGATTCATGGGGATTTTCACAAACTCCACTAGAAGATTCTCGACTTGGAGGACCGCTGCCAGGCTGAGGCAGAAAGCACTTTGATGTCTGTCTCCTCCCACCTCCATATCTCTGAACTTGGCAGAGCAGAAGCATAAGCATCCTCCGCCCAGATTTGGAAAAGTTCCTCTGTAAACTTATTTGCTAGTCATCTCAACTCAAGGAGACCCACTGAATCAATTGTTGAGAGAACATTTATGTAAACGCCATTGATTCACTGGTTCTGTTCCAGTTAGGACTAGCAATGTGATTTATACTGTGAACACACTGATACTGTCTGATTTGGGAAGCTAAATAGGGGCACAGCTGGTCATTCCTGGCATGGGAAGGGCTTTCAACAGATCCCTGAATATCAGCAGTGGCATTCTGAGGAGAGCAAGGAGGACTGTCAGAGAAGAATGGGAAACTACGATTTTTATGGCTTGTGCTCCATAGAGAGGGAAGGAAGCCCCCTTTACCAGAAGAAGGCAGAGGGCCCACCTCAGAGGCCTAAGAGGGGTGAGGATGAGGCTGTGCAAAGATTCCCTTTCCACTGAAGAAGAGCAGCAATTTGGCCTCGGCTGCAGCCCCCGCTGGGCCAGTCTGGGCAGGCGGCCGAGGGTAACACCTGCTCCAGCGTTTTCCTGTGGTGAGAAGCCAGCCCTCCTGCATCACTGAGCCCACATTCTCCACGCATTTGAATTCCTCAGAGGAGCAAAGACGAGGCGGCACCTGATGGAATCGGAGGATGGCTCCGGACCAGGCCAGCGCCCATTTCCAGCCGAGTGTGGAAGAATTCCTTTTTTCGCCCTTCGATTCCCAGAACAGTCCCTCGCTGGTTCATGTGAGCAAGGCAGGAGGCATGACATCCTTAGGTCAAAGGCACAAAACTGACGAGTACCTTTGCTAAAAATGGACATCTGTAGAAATTATACATGAGGACAATCATACTTGCATGGGCCCCACAAAACTGAGAATGCAGCAAGCCTGCAGTGGTCTGAAGTGGGTTTTGAGGGAGTCCCTGTAGATCGGATGGGCAGTCTGGGTGCCTGGGGGGCAGGATCCATAGGCTTTGGAGATCCTTCCTGTTCCATGAGATCACGGTCCCCAAGTATGGGGGAGCCACCAAGACCTGGGCACAAGACAGGTACTGCCCCTTTTTCCTTATCGGCTAAAGTACAAATGGGAGACAGAGTCTCAAGATGTATAACAATATTGACAACACAGACTTCCATGGGACCGATTGCTCTGAACCAGTTGGAGATTGCCTAGCACACCCAACATCTGTTTCAGATTCTCTATCTCTCTGTGTCTGATGGCAACCCATTTATTTATGGAATTGGCATTTCCCCTGAGAAAAAGGGATTAAGGCTATGGAACATCTTCAGTTACACAGAGAAAAACAAACAAGTGTTGCTCTCTGTTAGGCCTGCCCCAGCCAGGATAGTGCTTGGAGTGAAGCTCCCCCTGGCAATTAGTCTGCCAGAGACGAAATGGCCAGATTTTTGAAGCAGTATCTCCCACCTACTCCAAACCAGACAGACCCCTTTTCACTCACAAGAAAGATCTGCCAGCCTCCAAAACCCTCATGCCTCAGCGGAGGCTCACGCGAGCACTGCAGGACAATTCAGCTGATCTCTGGGAACAGAGAGTCTTTTCTGAACATGGAAACAGCAGGCCTGCAAGTCAGCTGTTTGAGATACAAAAAAAAGTCTTGAAAACAATTCACATCGTGTGCCCTTGGGGCTTCCATGTTACCCTCCCGGCGGTCAGACAGAAAAATCCTTTTGCGACTTGCCGTCATTCTCCCGGACGGGCTAGCTCTGTACATAGGTTACCTCGCTTGTCTGCTATTGCAACGACAGGATCGAGTCTCTCAAAGGAACAGTCACAGCGCCATGACACAGCAATTCGTTTGGATGCTCAGGATCGCAAGTTCAGATCCTGACATCCCCAGGAAAAGCCAGCAAACAAGCCAGCCTGAAATCCTGGAAAACTGTTCTCTGTCAGAACGGACAATACTGGGCTAAACAAATCAACACTCTCGACTCAGTAGCTATTTACCTCTTTCCACACATATATCAAGTGCTGTTGGATTGCAACACCCATCATCCTTAACTGGCACCCCTAGTGGTGACTGATGATGGGAGTTTCAGTCTAAGAACATATGGAAGGCCACAGTTTCCCATCTCCGATTTAGACCCTACTCTGGGAGGAAAACCAGACACTTCCTACTGCAATGACCAGAAAACATCCAGCTCACACAAGGAAAACCAGAAAACATGCAATGACCAGAAAACATCCAGCTCACACAGGTCTCTTTCCTGCAAATAGCAACAAGGAAGCCCACAGTTTAGAAACTAGTAAGCAATGTAATGAGTGAGTGACGAGTGCTACCTGGTTCAATTAGGTCTCCTTCAACTATGCGGGACTGAGGGCTCCAGATACTTTGGACTACACCTCCCACATCTATCAGGTGTCAGGCTGGAGAAAACTGGCTCCTGCTAACTGCTGGCAGGTACAGATCGGAGCCATCCTTTGCTCGACCCTATGCTGCCATGGTTGAAGCAACAGTGCTCTCTCGCTACTGCTGCCAGGTGGACAAACTAGGCAGGTAGTCAGGGATGCTGCAGTCCCTTCTTGCAATGTCCAGCTGGTTGCCTGGGTTCAAAATTAGCCTGAAGTTGGAATAAATACAGTATACATCTCTTGCTTCTACTGCCTTGCTGTTTTCAATTGCTTAGCTCTCTGGTGTCACCTACAGGGTAAATGTTGTAATTGCACCCTTACAGTAACTTTTAATACAGTGGTTCCCAACCTTGGGTCTTCAGATGTTCTTGGACTACAATTTCCAGAAATTCTACCTAGTGGTGAAGGCTTCTGGGAATTTTAGTCCAATAACATCTCAGGATCCAAAGTAGAAACTAACATACTGTAGTACGTAGTAGATTTAGACCCACATTTTTAGAGCCGCCTAGAGTGGCCTTGTAGGCCAGATGGGCGGGGTATAAATTAAATAAAATAAATAATCAGAACCCAAGTGTCCTGCCAAAAATGCCACTTGTTTTAAAATAACAGATTGGTGGGACCTCAGAATGGACACAGCTTCAATCTAAGAAAGAGCCATCGCAATGGCTTAAAGATTATTTTAATAGAAAGAGGAAGTAAGTGTAGTGTACTAAGTAGAGTTTCGGGAATAGATTCAGTAGATCAGCACTGAAATCCTTACTCACAAGGAACGCACAGGGTGATCTTGGGACACTTACACTCACTCAGCCTGACCTACCTCAAAGGGTTGCAGTAACTCAAACTGTATAAGATACTGCACTGCACACTTAACACTGCAATCATAGATTTAAAAAAAACTATGACATTATGCCATTAATTTACACATTTATCCCACAACATTTTTGTCTCTTGAATAAAAAAAATGCTGGCAGTAGCATTTAGCTATGAATTAGCTAAATGAATTAGTAACATGAATTAGCTATGACCAACCAATAAATTTCACCAATCATTCTTACGATGTGGCTGTATGTAAGGGATACACTCTTTCTTCCTCATAAACTATAAAGTACTTCAAAAGGCTTAACTTTATTTTAACTCTACATTTGTGCTTAACACCAACATTAATTTTGCTTCCAGATAATACATTCTATGAAATTTGATTTATACCAGTGAAACCTTTGATACCCATAGTTGATTTCAGTATCTGAGACTTTATAGCAGATATTTAATCACGGTTCTCCACCCACCTCCAGTTTAATGTTACTTTTGTCCTCTTAGAAAGTATTTTTGACTTCTTAAGACAAAAATAAAAGTGAAATGTTTTAAATTTACAGCAAAGGGGTTACAATAAAATAATGTAGTTCTGGATTAGAGGGAATTAATGAGATAACGCTCATCTGTAGAACAGCACTTAAAATCTGAATTGCAGTGTATGTCACTAACAATGTTCCACATTATGGTGGAAGGGTACTTTCTTGGGGGCGGGAAATATTTAGCAGCCTTCCCCAAGACAGGACCCTCTGAAACTGTTTATATACCCCATCATCCATGATCACCATGGTTCCTGTGGATCATGGGAGTTGTCTTTTGAGCATTCAGAAGGATGCTGAGGTTGACGAAGAATAATTTTAGTCAGTTTCCATGTTTTTGACTTTCGTCTGCAATGTACGACCATCTGAGGCTGCGGCGGTCACACTGATTTCCTGGTTGCCTCAGAAGAAGGACCAGGTTCTTGCTGAGAGCAGCGTGGATGTTTCAGGTTCTTTGCCACAGCGGCAGCCTCAATGCTCTCCTGACAAACTTTCAGGCAACCCTGAGGGAAGAAGGACAAGAGTAACAGCTACTGTGCAAAATGTGATCCTTTCACTTACAGGAAAGTGTCTGTGGCCAAGAGGTTGCAACCAAGAGGCTGGGACAGCTGCCAAAATGCCCTGGTCCCTAGCATGGCATGAGATATTCCAGCAGTTGCAGTTTAGACAACTAACTTTCCCCATTTTCGGTCTCAGCAACATTCCCTTTCCACAACGAACCTTCCTTCCTGCCGGGCACAGCATGCCATTCAGTACAGAACCTGCAGAATGCTCCCCGAGACAGCCCTATGGGGAAGGTGGCAGCTACAAAGCCCTCAACAGCCTTACAACCAAGAGGCTGCGACAGCTGCCAAAATGCCCTGGCCCCTGCATGGCATGAGGTATTCCAGCAGTTGTAGTTTAGACAAGTAACTTTCCCCGTTTTCGGGTCTCAGCAACATTCCCTTTCCACAATAAACCTTCCTTCCTGCCGGGCACAGCATGCCATTCAGCACAGAACCCGCAAAATGCACCGAGACAGCTCTATGGGGAAGGTGGCAGCTACAAAGCCCTCAACAGCCTTGCCCTAAATCAAGCAGCAGCCAGGTCTACGTGTCGCAATTACAACTTCTGCTCTGCAGCACCCATACTCACCACGTCTGTGCCGGTAATGCCAGCAAGCATTTCCAAGAGCACTTCGCCAGAAAGAAAGTCTGAGGGTGCCAAGAGGGCAAGGGCTGCCACAGCGATACTGCCCGCTGCAATCATGGATGGCAGATACAGAGCAAATGTATGATCTGAAAACACCAAGAGAGACACAGCAGAAGAGAAAGAAACTAGCTCAGATTGGTTCATAGTTAGCCTCTCTTTGGAAAAAGAAAATACAGTGGCAGAAATTGGAAGCAGTGCTAATACTAACACATTTAGAAGGATCATTGGCCCTGACAGAGAACATGATGGGTTGATCTATGAACTATAGGCTGTATCCTTATTTTATGCAAACAGTAACTTTAGCAAAAAGGCTGTGTTGTGGTAGCTAGAAACTTCTGTGAGTTTATGGCAATGGCCCCTAGCCTCTCTTTAATTTGCCAGGTAGCAGAGTTTTTGCTGTTACCGTTCATCTCCTAACACAGGATGTTTACAAATAATAGGGTTTTTTAAAGACATTTGTCCTATATGCATCATCCTTGGTTTTTGAGACAAAAACCTATAACTAAGGACGTTGATATCAGTGGGAGAAACATTTCAACCTCAATGGATCCTTTGGCGATATTAGTTTTGCAAAACTGCAAATTAAACCTGGAGCCATCACCTTCCATCACACAACCCTCTCTCCCATTCTTCCAAATAAAAGCCCCTTGTGCAATACCTGTGGCGCACAAGGCAATGAAAGTCTGTGCATGCTTCTTGACGGGGTCCACCTTCTGTTGAGGTAGCGGAAGCTGGTGGAGAACGAGGTCGAGGAAATCATTTGGAATCACAGACGCCAGGTCCCAATTTAATTTCTCTACAACTAAACGCTCCCAGTCCTGGGGAAAAAGAAGAAACTACTATGTTATATGAAGCAGAAATCTATTGTTAACAGCCTTTCATTCACTAGAGATTGCCACTATTGTACCTAAGAAGGGCAGAAGCTAGATCTTGATTTGCTGATTATTTTCTAAAATGAAAGAGGGATGGGGAAAAATACTGGGGAAACTCAGAAGCCTATATGTGACACCCCCAAACGCTCTTCCTTACTGTTGCTAGAGAGGCATAAACCGCTTACCAAAACTTGCTGTGGCGCGATGGAATTGTCTGTGTAAATGCAGAGCTTCTCCACCGTTAAAGGCACCATCTCTCGCAGTTTGGAAGCCAGCAGCATACAGACCGTTCCCAGAAGTTGTAAATGATTTCTGGGCATGGGCACCAGAGACAAGTAGCGGTCCACGTAACTCATGGCCAAGGGAAAAACCTCCTCCTCACACTTCTGCTCCTCACATACCTGGCAAAAAGGAAGAAAGGAGGGAAAGAAGGAAGGAGAGTGTGTTTAGAAAGAAGGTGTGTACTCTCTAGGCTCCCTGAGGGCTTCAAAAAAGAGGGGGGAGAAGAGAAAAAGGCATTAAAGCAATTTTTAAAAGTGAAGAAAGACATGGGAGCTAAGCAGAAGATCTGGTGATCTAAGCAGACTTCCTTTGCTACATTTACTATGAAAAAAAGGGAATCCCACTTTTTTCTGCAAAATGGGGAGTGGTGTTTAATCACTTTCCGTTGCCATTTTAAAAAAATTATTGGAAGTCCTGCATTTTTAAAAAAATTGCTCAATGTGTTTTTTAAAAAATTGTCAGACTTTTCGGCTAAGACCGTGTCTTTCTGTCTGTCTCATGTTCTCCCCTTTCAGACTGGCATTCTGGACCTTAAAATGTGCACTGAATTGCAAGGACCTTGATCTTCAACTTTTTTTTCGACGGAAGGTATGCACTGCCCACCCCCTACATGAAAACCACCCCACATTTCAATCCTGCATGCATTTACCTAGAAGTAAGTTGCATTGAACTACGTTGAACGCAACTTGGGTCAAATTGTTGTTGTTGTTTTTTTTAAAGGAACAACGTGGGGAAAAAAAGACATGCCTCAGGACAGTATTTGCAAATTCTTTGGGCCCCAAACGACCTTTTGAGCTGTTTTGTTCGTTTTTGAGCGTCCTTATGCATACCCACTTACGCAAAGCTCACTTCGCTTATAAGTAGACATGCCTCAGTATTTGCAAACTCTTGGGGCCCCAAACGACTTTTTGAGTTGTTTTGCTCGTTTTTTTGAGCGTCCTTGTGCATACCCACTTACGCAAAGCTCACTTCGCTCGGCCTCGCTTCACTCTTGCGCAAATGAACACAGAATTGAGAGTCTCACTTTTATATATCTCTGCTTAGATTTACTGGTAGAAAAAGGGCCACCGTGCCTCCATTTTGGCGGGCTACATTCTGTACGGACTAAGTTCCTACTTTTGAGTAGACAGCCCTGGAAGGGTCATATTTTTTTTCTCCAAGGCCCGCTGGGTTTACTGTGGAGTAGGGGAGGGGACCCAGAGGAGGAGACAGACCTCCAGCATCCAGAAAGCCAGCATCTTCCGCATGTAAGGCTGGAGCTCCACCTGCCAGCCCGGGAAACAGGTGTCGGGGGCCCCGGAGCGCCCTTCGAGGCTGAGCAGGTGGCGGAGCGCCCGCGGGTGGCGCAGCAGGGAAAGGTCCGGCGCGGCTCGTAGAGCCCCCTCGCCCCCCGCCAGGCTCTTCGGCCGCCTCCCCCGCCGCAGCCGCTCCTCCTCCTCTTCCTCCTCCTGCTGCTGCCGAGAGCCGGGGAAGAACATGAAGCCAGGAAAAGAAGGGGGGAGGGGGAAGAGGATGATGATGATGAAGAAGCCCGCGCGTGAAAGCGGCCCCTGGAGCAATAAGAGGGAGGCAAGAAAGAGGAGGGTGGCCATGGGCCGGGGCTGCTCTGCCTTTAGAGGAAGGGTTGGCGAGAGAAGGTGCGCGCCGATCTCTCCGCACAACAACCCCGCGAGGTCGAGTCTACATAACTCATCTCCTATCCCAGCGGCTCGGATCCTCTGCTTTCGGCATTCAAGACGGGTCTGGCTGCTGCCTTTAGTCCTCTCGAGTCAAGGCGAGGCTCTCAGGGGCGCACCTTCGCAAGTGTCAGATACAGTCCATTCCTTCCGCGGGAAGCGTCCAGAGCACCCGGGTTGCCTACGGACAGTGCAAACTGGGATTCGGCCAAAATATTTCTCCCCTCCACCCCCAAGGATTGGGGTTTTTTTTTAGTGGTTCAAGTTATTGTTTTTTTTTTTAAAGGAAGAACGTGGGGAAAAAAAGACATTGTATTTTGTTTCGTGACGGGCAATACGCATGCACTGTCGATGAAGAATAACACGTTTGTTATGCAAACACAGCATTTGCAAACTATTGGCTCTTTATTGTATTTGTTCATTGCTGCGGGGGAGCTCTGCAGCGTATTTTCTTTTGAAAATAACTTTTCTTTTTCTTTTTTTTTTTTTAAAGAGACATTTTTCTCCGCTGTTTGCGACGCCTGGAACTTCGCCCTTTCCCCACTAGCAGCAAGATCCTAAATACGGATCCTAAGCAATCCTCCCGATGCTTTTAAAACTGCAAAGCCGAGCCTGGGCTTTGGAGAGGAGGGGCGAGACACATTCCCTTAAGAAAGATGGCTGCCGGGGGGGGCGTGGCGACGCCGCGTTCCCTTAAAGCGACGCCATCTTGCCGCGCCCCGGCCGCCGCCCGTCCCTCGTTGCTAGGGCAACTGCCTCACCTGAGCCTGCCTAGGCCCGGGGCGGTCCTGCCTCACCTGCCGGGGAGCCATGTTCGGGGACTGGGGGGCGGCGGGCGGCGGGACGGATGTGGCGTCCGTGTGGCGGAGGGCCCAGGGGTCCCGCAGCGAGGAGGTGAGAGGCCCGGGCTGGGTCCGCCGGGAGGGGGACCGTGGGGCGCAGCAGGGGCGAGAGACTTACTCCGGTTAGCCAAGGTTACTGGGTGGTAACCACGGGGTTAGAGACTCGGGCTCGTTCATATGCCTTCCCCCCTTCTCAGCCATGCTACTCCCCGGGTGACCTCAGGTTGGCCGTCCCTTCTCGGGTGGCTGGCCCACCCGACAGGCTTGCAGTGAAGGTAAAATGGCGAGAGGGAGAGCCAGGAATGCCATCGAAAGCGTGGCTGCAAGTTGGAAATGTAACCTGTGTGCCTTGTGTAATTCATGTATATAATGGAAGCCACTTTGGTTCTCCTTAAGGAGAAAGGGTCAAGCTGGATAGCTAAGTAGTTGAGGTCTCCCCGGCTTCCCTGCCAGAGGTTGGGAGTTCAGGCCTCCTTAACAGGGATCCGTAGGGTCCCTTTCAGCTCTACAATTTTATTGCGTCTTACTAAATGAATGAATTTGTGCATGAACAAGGAAACCAATAAGCCATTAGGGCATGACTCCTTACCTTAGCTGTATACAGCAGGCAGGCTTTGTAAGGAGCAGTCAGCCGTAACCCATGTTACTCCCTCAACCTCGCCTCAGCTGTTATTTATTGGTTAATTACATGGCTCAGTTTTTTTATTTTTGTGTCAAAGTTAGGTAGCTTAGGCAGGAAGACAAAGAGAATGAATAGGCAATTCACTGGCCCAGTCCTGCTGCTCTAATCACTACCCACACTCAGATGGTCTACCCTGCCTCAATCTCTGTCCCTCAAATGGGGCTAATAATCACCTTTATTACAAGAACTAGTGAGAGGGTTATGCTTTACAAATAGTTGCACGTGGCCATTGACTGTGGCAGTGAAGTATAACTAGCTAACAATAATAAGAGTATATACTTCCTCTGTATTATGCATATCACAAAGATGCTGCAGGAGCCTTCTGCTAAGCCATCCCCAGCCTGAAGCCTTAACAGTCACCTGTTCTCCCTTTTCCTCCTGCATGAGTATTTGGAGACAGTGGCCTGCAGTTCACGAAAGCTTACACCAAACAGAAATTGTGTGATCTGATGGATTCGAATCTTGTTGGAGTAAATCAAGGAAGCCACAACAAACCTGCTGTTGATCAAGGGGACCAGGTTTTGTACTTGAACTGAATTAGGGAAAGAAAGTTCTTCAAACTCTTGTTTGGATAGACAGCCTCTTTGTTATTTCAACAGAAAAGCACCCAGACCAGGCTGATCTCCACCAAAGAAACTGTTGCCCAGTCCCGCTACTGCCAGGATGCAGGCGTTCAGACCGACACGGACGAGGAGCAGGCCCAAGCACGGGGTCTCCCCTCTCCTGCAACAGTGGACTATGCCTCTCTGCGCTCTTTCCTGCAGAGAGTAGAAGAGGTTGTCATCCGGGAATTAGATAAGAACTGGAAAAGCCATGCCTTTGATGGTTTCGAGGTGAACTGGACGGATCAAAATGAAACGGTAAGCCCCTGCTTTCGGAGAGAGCATGGATAATAGTTATAATCTTTCTCGCTCGGCTCTATTCTCTGTCAAATTCCTTAAGTGCTGAATGAGGGAGTATCCTGCAGCCGGGCCGAGATAGGTGCCCCCCTCCTGTGTCACCATAAAAACAAGTTATAAATAAATTTCTGCCAAATAAAAACTGATTAGTCTTGGAGACATCATAACGCTATTTGATTGGTTGCCACAGACTAAACTAGCTATCTCTTTAGGTTTATATTGCACCTTTCTGTCAAGGAAGCTTTTCCCTCTATAGTCCCCTTCTCCCTGTTTTTGTCTTTACAACAGCCCTGTGAGGTAAGTCAGGCTTTGCTCCTTTTTTGCAGGTTAGTTGTTTGCACAGCTTATCATATCCGGAAGCTCAAGAGTGCAAGCTGCATGTCACCGGTATCTCCTGGAATGCCACAGGGGCCGTTGTTGCGTGTTCATATGGCAGGTGAGTTGAACAAAGCCACAAACACTGGTTCGCTTTAAGGAGGCTGTATTCTGACATTTGGCAAGTGTTTTTATTCTAGATTTTTTTAGTTTGACAAATCAGTTTCTTTAAAAAGCTGGTACAAGATCATTCAACGAATTTCACGGCTAAAGTGGGAATTTGAACTCGGGCCTCCCTAATCACAAGCCAGTGCTCTGACCACTTAGAACCAGGATGTATTTCTCCAGCCATTTGGATGTCAGGAGATTCTTGTCTTTGTATTTTAACAGATACTGCCCTTATGCTGCCTGTACTGGAAAGTGTGGGGAGGAGGGGAAAGTATGTGTGTGTGTGTGTGTGTGTGTATACTGGAAAGTGTGTGAGTGTGAGTGTGTGTATGTGTGTGTGAGAGAGAGACAGAGAGGAACTGCATCCTAGAAGATCCTATGAAGAAAACAGACGCCTTCTGATGCACTCCTGAAGGCGTGTGGTCAGATAAGGGATGTTCTGGAGGCAACTGTTTTTCTCTTTTTTTCTTCCAGGCTGGATGATGGGGACTGGAGTGCAGAAAAATCCTATGTCTGCACTTGGAACCTAGACCGCAGAGCTCTGAACCCCACCCGTCCAGATCTGGTGGTGGAAACCCCCAGCGCCGTGATGTGTTTGGCTTTCCACCCGGTGCACCCTTCCCTCATTGCAGGTAGCTTGCTCTTCTTTGTTTTGTACCATCCCCCACTTTCCCTTGGTTTTGCAAGTAGGTCTCACCCCACCCTCCAAGCATACCTGGCTTGACATGGTGGAGCAGAAGCAGTTCAGGTGGCCAGGAGTCTGGCACATTGTTTTCTCTACGAAGACACCGGGTTTTTTGCCCTGTATTGTTGCTTACCATCCAGTAAGCTGGGTTTGTGTAGTGGTGGTGGGGCTTTAAAAACTCTTTGTGTAGGTTCTTCCCCCACCCCCCACCCCGATTTCACATGGCATGGTTTGTTCTCTTGGCATCTGTTTTGTTCTGTTTTTATCCTTGTATTTTTTTAACCTTCTGCTAGCAGCGTATTGAGAGTTGATTTTGATTGGGAAGGGTGGGACAGGGGTTGAAATCTGTTCTATTTCCCCAATTCCAGTAGTAACCTATTCCCAGACAGACCTTGATGGCTTTGAAATCAAGAAAAAGGATTTCCCCAATTCCAGTAGTAACCTATACCCAGACCGACCTTGATGGCTTTGAAATCAAGAAAAAGATGACCAGTAATGTATAGCTTGATGGGAGGTATGGTCTGAAGCTTGGAGGACCTCCGAGATTCCACTTGTATAGCAGAGGGACGGTGCTTAGCAGAAATACTGTGAGACACATGTCTTGTCTCCTTCAGGTGGCCTGTTCAGTGGGGAGGTCTTGGTCTGGGACACCAGCAGACTGGAGGATCCCTTGGTCTGGAGGACAGGAATGACGGATGACACCCACACAGATCCTGTTTATCAGGTAGAAAGGGAGGTTGCCACATTGACAAGTTTTCAGCCTTTCCAAGTAGTTTCCCATCAATGGAGCTTTGAAAATTTACTTTGGGGGACTGAAACCCATTGGCTAATCCCAGCTGAAGTAGGTCCATAGAGCAAATGGGATTTATATAGGTAATGGCTTACTGTTCAAGAGCCGATTCACAGGTCTGCTCTTAGTTGCAATGAAGCAAGAGGACACTGGTCTTACTGTGTAGTGGTCGACCCCTATGCAGATGTGATATACAGCATAAAACTGGTTAATCGGCTGGGGAAAAAGCCCTGATCCCATCACTAAACGATGATTTCCTTTACTTGGCTGACATTCCTAATAAAATAGGAATGGTCTGGAGACCATTGGTGAGGTTACAACCTTTGTAACTGTCTCTTTATATAACATTACTATGACATGTTTGTAAAGAATTACAAGGACTGGGGAATCTGTGCCAGGGCGGCAGCAACACATTCTCTTTCATTTCTCCTTGCTGCTACATCAGGTGGGCTGGTTGAGAGACTCAAAGCACCACCATTCCTTCTGCGTTCTGAGTGTCTCCACCGACGGGAAGATCCTACTGTGGCAGGAGGAGAGAGATGGCCTCCTCAAGCCGATGGACGGCTTTGCTTTCGTGCTGCAGCAAATCCCCAGGACCATGAAGCTGAAAAAGGTGGGCTTTTGAGTAGGAAAGAGAATGGCCTCCCCAGATGGGGGACTGGCTAGATTCCATATAGGGTCTGGAACATTGTTAGGTCTTGCTTTATGGAAGAAGAATTTGGGGAATAGAAGTCAAAGGCCCAGAGCCTCCTGGAGGAACCAAGGGCAGAGGTGGGCACTTACACCTCCACCTATTTTTGTTTTTACTGCTAGTGACGTTCACAAGGATTCAACTCAAGTAGTTCTTTGTTGCTCAAGATCACCTGTATGCAAACTATGTGATTTCCCACAGAACTACATTTCTGTTTTGTTTTTGTTGCCAGTTGTGCTTGGAATCGGGACTGGGGGTGTTTTATGTCTTTTGGTGTAGAGCTGTTTTTAAGCCAGACTCGGCAAGCAGGACGATTCCTGAAATGGAGCAGAATTGTTGCTGAGTTTGGCAAGCGTTAGCAAGATGGCCTGAGTAGATGTTTATGACTTTTTTCTCCTACTCAGTGCAACTCCCTTGCGCTACTCCACAAAGAGTATCCTCCATCTCCTAACCCTGCAGTGCTTCTGAAAGTCCCTTCTGAGGGACTGAGAAAGAATACTAAGGTGCTCTCTTTTTTCCTCTGATGAAGGACAACGTAATTTGACAGTCTAGGCATTCTTCGTTGAGCTTTCACTATAGCGTGCGGCTTGTTTAGGTTTGCCTGCTTAACCTGTGCATCTCATGGTGGGCCTGTCCTCTTCCTTTTTCTCTCTCCCCCAGCATGCCCGTGGAGACACAGCCGTGGGCGTGACCTCTCTCTGCTTCTCCCACTTTGAGCCCAGCGTATTCATTGTCGGCACGGAAGGGGGCTACGTGCTGAAGTGCTCCAGTGCCGTGGAGACGGTTGCTCTCTTACAGAAGGGCAGCTCGGTCCCACTTAAGGCCCCCGCCCAGTTTGTCTTTGCTCCCCACGGTGGACCTGTCTATTGCGTAAGCTGCTCACCTTTCCACAGGTGAGTAAGGAATCCAGCTGGTCTGTGTAAGCATAGATGCAAGTGAATCACTGCTTCTCTCGGTTTGGTTAGCCTGCCCTACTCAAAAGATGGGATGGACTCTGTCCCTAATTCCTTGGCTTTCTCATGGAACAAATGGGAAGTAGTAACCCTGACAATGATATGCCCTTTCTCTGGTTCAGACAGCAAATAATATATTGGAACACAGAATTCCTGTGGAGTAAATGCAGGAAAAGATGTCTGTTTGGCTTGAGTGGATAATTACAGAGATTTCGGCTTCAGTTCTGAGAATGTATTCACATTTTGATTTTTTTTTTATTCTAATTATTATTTCTGTTCTCAGTGAGCTTAGGCTAACAATAACATCTGATTATGTCAGGATCTGTCTTAGAAATGTTTGTCATTTGCATACCCCCTGAGTAATTTTTATTTATTTAAAATATTTCTGTGCGCCTTTCTACCCAAAATGACCCAAATATATTAGGATCCTTTACTTTCGTGACCCTAGAGAATAAAGAGCAATTCCTGCTTTGCTTAAATAGTGTTACAACTTAACACGCCTCTCTTTAAACAGCATCCTCCGGATGGTCCTTTGTTTTTTATTTTCCTGAATTTCTGCTTGTTCCTAGGAATCTTTTTTTGAGTGGCGGCACCACTGGCCATGTTCATTTGCATTCCATGTTACAAGCTCAGCCCCTCATTGCTCTTCAGTTGTCGAAAAAATACATTTTCAGTGTCAGGTGGTCTCCAGTACGGCCTTTGGTTTTTGCAGCCACTTCTGGTGAGGGTAAGTATGCATTTACTGTTCAACGAGGTCTGTACAGCCACAACAGAAAAACAAGTGGATAGTACCCGCTCTGCCTTAAGCCACATTTTCTGTCAATAGTGAACAATATGCAAACTGGGTTAGTTTTTGTATTTGAAAGATGAATGTGGCTGCCTAATACCATTTCTGGTTAGCAGAATGTGTGGTCTCTTTTAAAAAATGGGAAACAATTGGAAAAGGGAATATTTCCTTAAACACACTGGCCTCTTTAATTTCACTGAGATGCAGGCCATGGGAATTCTACTTGGACTGGCAGTAGATACGAGCAGTCAGAACCTCTGTCCAAACTTTTAGCAAAAAAAGATTATTCTGCAATTTGGCCTAATTTAGAATGTAAGGAAGTTTTATAAGCAAGGTTCTCAACGTTTGGCTCTCAGCTTACAGAACCCCCAGACAGCATGGCAAATGTTCAGGGTTTCTAAGAATCAAGTCTAAAACACCTGAAAGGCCAACAGCTGAGAGCAATTGAAGTTGGGCCAGGCTGACAGTGTGGCTATAATGGTCATATTCTTTGCTTTGCAGGGGAAATCCAGCTGTTTGATTTTGGGAAGAGCGCTCAGAAGCCTTCCATTTCTATCAAGCAGACCTCTGACCAGAGTCCCGTGTACTGCTTAGAGTTCAACCACAGACAGCCCCAGCTTCTTGCTGCTGGAGATGGTGGCGGAGTAGTAAAAATCTGGCAGCTAAGTTCAGATTTTACAGAAGAGGGACCACGAGAAATGAGCCATCTTGACCAACTAGCCAACGAGGTGACCGATTGACACAAACTGCAATAAAAGATTTGGTATGTTTTTCAGTGGGCCCTAAACATCTTTGTATCAAGTAACTCCCTTTTAATTTAATCCCTCTTCTCTGCCAAGCTGTAATGATAGTCCAAAGGGTAGAAGAGACTGTGAACAGGAGCCGAGATTAACTCCTTGTTTGTGCTGCAGTTCTTTGATAAAAGTGTCTTTGGGAATTTTTAGGGTCCCATGAAAAAAAGCAGAATTGGTTTCACTTGGACCAATAACTTTTATTGAAGCACACGGCAACATTTTTGCTCCTTGTACTAAGAATATTAGAGGTTTTTAAGCTAAGCAGTTTTAAGGTTACACTGGACAGGTAACATTGGTTATTTCTGAGCACAGTGGTGGACACATGCAGAGAGAAAAGAGGCAGAAGACGTGAGCACATTCTCAGGATGCTGTGGGACTAGCACTGGGTATCAATTCACAAAGAGGGAACGTGTAAATTCAATGTAGTCATAGGCAGAGGGAAGCTCCCTGCCTTTGCTGTCCATGTACGGCTTCATGTGAGAGATGCAATAATCTGCCTGTTCCCGGGTCAGGTTCTGAAAGGAAAAGAAGAGACGTGTGGAGTGAGAGGGGGAGGGGATGATGGCAAGGAAGCTGTCAGCACAGTGAAAGCAGGAGCCAGGTGAAAGAACAGGCCGGTATTTACCTGGTAGAGTTCCTCCTTGGTCACGTACGGTTTGCCCTCAGAGCTGAGGGCACGGAAAGCACTTTCTATCTCTTCACTGGACTTGACGTTCTCCGTCTCCCTGCTGATCATGAAGGCCATGTATTCTTGCAGCGAGACGTGTCCGTCCCTGTCAAAAGGGGGAAAGAAAACCACCACAAGCTAAACAGGACTGCTTCAGAGCAACCCCTGCCTAGCAAGCATTGGCTGTTTTGAGATCAGCTAAAAGCTTTCAAGCAGAGACACTGCAGAAAAAGACAGGCCACCTTTCGTACAGGAAGCAAGTTTGATGAAAAAGATGAGGTCAAGAAATGGACTTGGCCAACATCCTGCTCAGAGTTCTGCAAGATGAAAACCCGCCGCTTTTGCAGAGATGAACTGTCTACTCAGCACCCATAGCCAAAATGGAAATCATGAAAAAGGGGGGTCCATGTGAACTTTTAATGAAATTAAAACTATGACCTTAATTAGATGTGTGTGTGTGTGAAGGCCTACCCCACTTAAGTATGAAATCACAAGGTAGATACAGCTGCATTTTCCTGATTCTTAAGCACTCTGCTTTCAAATGAAATGTTACATTTGGCGACTCTGGGATTTTTATTTTGAAGAACTAGGCAAGCTGGATGCCAACAGCAAAATGCCCCTGCGGGGCTTGTACCTGTTAGGATCAACTGTGTCGAGAATAGCCTCAAACTCCGGATCTGGCTCTCCTTCCTCCACCATGGGCAAATCGTAGCCAAGGGACCGCAGGCAGGATTTAAACTCCTGGTGATTCAGACGACCAGACTTGTCCTTATCAAAATGTCTGGAATCAAACGTAAGGCATTAAGCTTATTGGCTAGACAGATTACATAGGTTCTGCCCTCACTTCCCCCAAACTTCATTATCTACAAAACAATGGTAGAGTCTAGTAATACATATACACATTTGATAACTAGTAAAGACAGGTTGTCCTGCCACCCCACACACTCTCACCCATCTCCTCCTCCTCTTTCAGCAAACAGACTGAAGCAGAGCAAAGGTTAGCTGCCAGCAAAATGTGGGCTCATTTATCCTTTTTGTAGATAAAAAATGTCTGGAGAGGCAAAGTCAGAGGTTGGGAGTTTGATTCCCCCACTGGGCCTCCATGACGGGGGCTGGACTAGATGATCCACTGGGTCCCTTTCCAGCTCTACAGTTCTAAGATGATGATGATTAAGACCAGCAGACTTACTTAAACATCATGCTGAACTCCTTGAGGGCTTCTTCGGTAACTCCGGTTGTGTTTCTAAAAGGAAAAACACCATAATTAATAAAACTTTGACTGGCAGTAGGAAAAATTTAGCTTGCTTTTACACATTAGGTACAGAAGCTTTGGAAAAGTGTGGTGATGAGAAAGGCATGATGTGCTTCATTCCCCTACATCCCCTCCTGGGGCCAAGGTACAAGGAGAAGCCATGAATTGCCCCTGGTCGCATGAATTCAACAGACTTAATGGCATGGCCGATAAGAGGCTCCCACACCAAGTGTAACCTGGGCTACAGTCTCTTTGTAGAGTAAGGGAATATTTGGACTGCTTCGTGTCCTGCTTTGAAGCATAATTTTCATTCTAAGAGCATAAAATTTTAGTAGGCTGAAATTCGGTGAGTCAAAAAACTTTGCCCATAAAGCAAAGGCAAGGAAGCTTTTTCAGGTGCAGAGAGGGCTGTGTCTTCAGTTTTGAAGAATTTTGGGAGAGCCACGTTCCTGACACAGGCAAGATCAAAACCAAGCACATATTACTGAAGAGAAGCTCTCGCTGCCAGTGACCAGATGATCGCTCATTCTAAACCAGAAAATAACCCCTACAAGATCTCGAAAGGATGGCCTCATAAGGGACGCGAGTGTGATTATCAGGGACAATCCTGCCAGCTTCTACTCCAGAGGCTGATGTCCCCCACCCCTGCCATGCAGCCTCCAGAACACACCCAGCATCTGGCATTTCTAAGATCAGCTCCAGGGAACGCTAGGTCTTGGCCTCTGCTTTGCGGAGCAGAATTCAAGGAGGAGGCCGCCCAACCGACTTACCTGGCCTGTATTTGCTGTTCGAGATTGTGTTGCATTCTCATGCCCAGTTGGTCAAGCTGGTCCCACTGCTGTGCCAGCCCCACAGTGCTGTGCTCTGTGTACTTGTTGTCCAGGATCAGAGCCTCCTCCATGGCAGCTCCCAGGTCCTCGATCTTCTTCAGCTGGCTCCTCATGGCCCGGATCTCCTGATGCTTGCGCTGTGGGGAAGAGGGGAGGCATCAAAATGGAATGTGGGAGTCTGTCCCGCTCCGTGGGATCAAGAAGCTCATTGTCAAGACGCTGCCCTTCTACTTCTGGATTCATGATGCTGGGAATAACTCCCATCTCTGGTTCTGCAGATGAGCTTGCTAGCGGGTTTGCATCACCAGTCCAGCAGCAAATGTATGCTTAAGGGGGGGGAGGGGAGAGCTCCTGAGCAGGTAACATAAGCAGCAATTACAGTATTCCTCTACATGAAGTAACCTCAAGGCAGAAGCCAAGGAATGACAGATTACTATACAGTCCAAAGCGTTGCTTGCAGTGGTTAAAAACACAGAACTGGGGTTCTGGGAGATGCAAATCCTTCAGCCATGAAACTGTCTTAAAGAAAATAAAACCTCTCCCTATTGAAGTTTGTTCCAAGACACACAGAACAGAGAATGAAAATCGAAGCTAGACCCCACCACCCTTTGTATGCCACATGTAAGCGAGCTGTAAAGTGGAAACACTCATGAAATGAATCTTCCCCCCCAAACTCTGCATTTCAGTGCAAGAAAAGGAAGACACATACTTTGGTAGCTTCAAGCTGCGATTCTAGGGTTCCCGATTCCTCCACCATACAGGACCTAAACAGAGAGTTAAAATGAGAGGGGGCTCTTGATAATTGGATGCAAAACACGATGGGGCTCGAAATTAACAGCATTCCTTCTCAGTGTAATTTCTCCTGACCCTCTAAGAAATGAGGATCATAAAAGCCCTCCAGACTCTACTATAACCACGTTTCCTTCAAAACTCCATTCATTTCTATTGTATTAAGTATTCTAGGATAGCTTACCAGGCAACTAACATTCTCACTGGATTGTATACTAGAACAGTATACGTTTCGTGAATTTCGTTGTATGGTATACTGTGTATATACTTACAATGACAATAAATTATATTATTATTATTAAAATTTTCAAAGCGGTCTGTATAGAAGGTGGATCGCACAACTACGACAGACAGAAGACAGTCAAGTCCTGGATGAAACAAGATTCTTTCCTGAGGCTGACCCGAAACACTCCTGGAAATCCTTTTTAATTCCATTTTTTAAAAAATGGCTGGAAGGCTTGGTCTCCAATTGAGGGTTAAGCAGACTGCACTGGGCAGTTTTTGATAGTTAAGTTCAAGCCCCATTTTCACAGCCGTAAAGGGGGAGGGGGGGTTAAAAAAAAAACAGAAAACACTTCATGCCAAATCCAAAGCGCTCACTTCTCAATGGACTGAGTGAGACACCCCCGTTTCCAGTGCAACCTCACCCGCCCAACGGTGCCCGACACACACAAACCACGAGTGATTTGATTGAGATGAGCTTGGTTGGCCAATGAGCGACAGAGCTCTAGCAAGGCTTTGCACAGAGGAAGTGTGTGGAAAACCTTCACAAAACTACTGGCTCAGTTTCAACACCACCAAACACTCATGCAGACCAGTGCCTCGGGAATACAGAGGAGCAGTCGCTCCGAGATCACCGCGGGGGGAGATCCCAGGCAGCCCCCTGGAACACCAATGGGCAGAGGGGCCTCGCGAGGCTCAAGCTGCAATTTAAGGATCCGTCATTAGGGCACTGCGCTTCTTGAAGAATAACCATTGCACGGCCTGCTTTTTTTAACTTTGGCACTGCTTAAGTAGGCAGAAGAAAGGAGAATATTTGGAAGCCAAGATTTAATCCAGACTAGCCCAATAAGGCCATTTTGAATTTCCTGCTAAATCATAGCAGCAATAACAAGGCAGCAGTTTTTGTCACAGCACATTGTATTTAGAGCCTCTGTCCTGGAACATTTATGGTGCAAGATCACAATGGACAATCGGTGTACAAACAGCAAGTCTTTGCTATTGTGCAGGTGGGTTGCACATTCTCAGTGCCCCTGTGAGACGTCCAGTGTCCTCCTCTCTCACCCCAACCCAACCATGCCCCTCCCGGGAGGGGATGTGTGGACTTTCACACTAGCTTCAGCTAGGAAGAACCACTCAGTGCTAAGGCAAAAGCACCAGATTTTTGTGGGTGAGTCTCACTCCCAGAGGGTTACGGCTCTCGGTCAGTGCAGGCTTAAAACAGATCAAAAGCAGGGACCCAGAATATTTCGGCCAAAGAAACCGTAGGCTAACAGAAGGGGGGGAAAAGAAACACCACTCCCTCCCGGCCCGAAGCATCTCACGGCAGTGACAGTTAGTCAAAAGAAAAAGCGAGCCTTTGGAATTAGGAGTGCGCTTAAAAAAGACATAACAAAAAAAGAACACAGTGAGATAAGAAAAATAAGAAGAAGAACCTTCCAGACAGATCATCCCCAACTTCATACTGATAGACACGAATGACACGACGGTATGCTATGCTATTCAAAGAAAAGAAACCAAGTGAAATTCCAAATGGGAAGAAAAAGGAGAGCACACAGCAATCAGGAGCACAGCTCCAACCAGCGCTAGCAGCTCACAAGCAGCAGCAGCAGCATCACGCGCACACACACACACACAAGGACAGGGCGCAGCACCACCTTCTGTGGCAAGGAGCCACCCCTGGAGGATTTCTACGGCATCCAAATGCATACAGGCAAGCAGCAGCCCCACAGGACAAGCTTGAGGAGGGCAGACCAAAAGCAGGACTTCTGCTCCCCATCAGAAAGGGAAGGCCTCCCACTTTTCTGGGCTTGTTCCTCCCAAGCTGCCTCTATTCCCCACTTCTGACCAAGCCCTGTGGCGTCTTGAGGGAAAAGTTCCAATCCCAGCTTCTTCCTCTTGAGGATCCTCACAGAAGTGGAAATGCTGAGACCCCCCCATGGGCCCTTTTGCATTGAACCAAACAGCATCATGCCAGGGAGACAGTGTGCGGGCTGCCATCACTGCAGCATGCTGGTTGATCACAAGTGCACTGCAGTCTCCCTCTTCCTGGTGCCACTAACAAGGGCCAATGAAGGCGATGGCCCAACGTATCAGAGGCATCAGGGACATTTTGCAAGGGGGAAATTCCCAACATCATCCACTTAACAGTCGGGAGCAGCACAACCCTGCAACACATCTGCTGTATGTATGTGTCAGGGTGTGGGCTTTAGCTCTCCAAAAAGGAACTGAAGGGGTGGAAAATGAACCAACACCCTTCAAAAATCCAAGCCCTTTCCCATATAAAGAAAAGCACAGGACTGATGCCAGGAACTGCTAATCCGCCTACTGGCAGAGAAGGAAAACATCTTCTCTGGCTACCTGGTGAACTCTAGGTATCTTGGACTAGAGCTCCTATCATCCTTTGACCAGTGGACCATACTATCTGGGGATGAAAGATGGATTCTCATGTGGAAAACAACAGCCTCCCCAACACACACACACACACACACGATGACAGACAAAAATACTGAAACGAGCTTTTAAAAATTGCTTTTCAGACTACAACTCCCAAAATCTCCTGCCAGCAGAGAGAGTCATAGTACAGAGAAGGAACGTTTCTGAGCACTGCATGGTTAGCCGTCCGTTTGGGCGCCCAGGAAGCTCTCTTGCACTAAACCAGACCGTCTGACCGCACAGTGTGTGCTTTGTCTGGCAGCCACAGGCCTCCACCTTAGAGAGACAGAGAGTGCTTCAACAGTCTCGGTGCCCCAAAGTGAGAGCTGCAAATTTGAACTGGGTTCTGATTCCGGTTGGGAAAAGGCAGCAACAGCTAGCAGCTGATGAGAGAGTCCAAAGAGGGCAGGAATTCGGAAACTGGGTGCTAGGAGCCAAAATCTCTTTTGGCTGTTCCATGGGAAGCCGGCCATGGTTAGAAGGCAGGCTGCTGGTTGGCCATCAGGAGAGCGCCAGAGTTTTCCAATAGGGGCACATCTGTTTCTAGCAGCACAGCATAGTGAACTCACAAGCACAGTCTGACAGCAGGAGAGCTTGGCTAAGTAGCAAAATCTAGAAGGGGGGGAAGGCAATGGGGTGTTTTGTGGAGCAAATACTGAAGGGCGAAAACTAGCCCCATTGTTTTAGAACTGGCCTGATTTCTCGTGCAATGGCAAAGCGAGGAACTCTTGATTTTGCTTCAACTTAAAGGGTTGGATGACAAAGGAGAACATGTCATCGCAATGGCCAAAAAGGAGGCTCTCGTTTGCTCGGTTTTGTGATTTTTGGTGGTGGGAGAGGAAAAAAACAACAGCTTTGTTTCTGTTTCCCTGCCTTGTGCTCTATTTCCTGTACACGTGACAGGAGATGGAACAAGGCCCTCATGCAGAACCCAGGCACGGATGCCTGAAAAATATGGGCATCTTTTATAATACGTTTTCCACAAGCGAAGCAATGGCAGGTAAAAGCAGACACACGTACAAAAAGAGTTTTTGCGGTGAGTTATTATTTTGTACTAACCCGTCAAGCAGGTAGGTCCTGGAGAACACGAAGGTCGAGGCACCGAGGCACAGGAGAAGGAGGGAGAGGGAGACAAGAAAAGCAACACTGGTCACCAAGGCTGGTTTGGTTTAACATTCCAGCAACTGAGAAACCCTTTCCTGCCAACATCTCCAAAGGCGGCTTTCTGCGCTTTGGCTGAAGCCGCCTACTTCTCTTTACTGCCTCCCCGTGCACGAAAATCCGTATTCCTTGAAAATCCTTGCAGAAAATGCAGCGTAATTTTTTATGGAAGCATGGAATTCAATCTGAGTATAGGAGAAAAAGCACTTTTGCATGCAGGGATCCAGACCCCTATCCAGCAAGTCTGTCTGTCATTATTATTATTGAATTTCTAACCTGCTCTTCCCTATACAATGAAGTTTTGGGGGGGGGGTTGTTTTTACTACCACCCTCCTCTCTTCTTTGTTCCCCTTATGTTTTCTCTGCAAAACCAGTTAGACTGGTTTGCTCAAGACCAGCCAGGAATCTCCATGGCCATACAAAGGTTTTCAGCCTAATCATCACCTTGGCGGGGGGGGGGGGGNNNTGGAAGCAACCACCAAAAGGATTCCATACAAGTCAGAAAGAGTAAAAGACAGAAAGGGAGGAGGCACCTGGTCTCCTGAATCCACTGGTGGAAAGCGTTGGCATGCTGAGCAAACTCCTGGCGCAGCTTGTCATTCTCCTCCTGCCTGCGCTGCTCCTTCTGCAGCTCTAGTTCACGTTCCTAAGAAGAATCAGAACCGCGTGAAAATCTGGGAAGGAGGATGATCAAGCTTGGAGTTACCTTTCCTCAGACTGG